ACACAGGGGTAGAGGAGAAAAGGAGAGAAACTAGGGAAAAGAAAAATATTCAAAATATCTTCCAATAATGAAGAAGTGTGTAAACAAAATTAGATGAGTACAGGAAGGAAAATGACAAAAATATAATTTAAGAACGAGTGAAAATGCTGTTAAAAGTGTGGCAAAAAGCGGGGGAATCACAAGAGCAGAAAGAAAGGGTAGGAAGTGCGGGGGCAACTTCCTTCTGGTCCTAAAATTTGGGGACTGCAGTTGTATGCACGGAGATCACTTGAACCTATGGACCCTTGTCTTTTCTATACTTAATACTGCACTTGAGTCTGTATTATATTGTCTGTATTTTTATTTTTATTAAGATTTTAGGCTTATCTTTTATTTGTGTGTGTGTGTGTGTGTGTGTGTGTATGTGTGTGTGTGTGTGTGCATGAGTTTAAGTGCACCACACACATACAGGTGCCTGCTGAGGCCAGAAGAAGGCATTAGATGCCCACTACAGCTCTCTTTACCTTGGTAGTTTCCCTTCTTTGAGTACCGAGGGCTTTGCTGGCTATACTTAACTGCATTCTGTGAGCTGAGCAAGTTCTACCATGCTCCCCCAGACTCCCCAGGTTGTACTCCTTGTGTTTAGCTGAGAGGGGTCTCCTAAATACATTGGAAGTGTTGGAAGCCATCACAACACTGAGAGGAGACCTGTCTTCATATGTTCAAGACATCCTGAGTGTTAATCGCCCTGCTGGAGGGTTGCAGCTGTGGGGATCAAGTTCACCCCCTGGAACTTCACGGTTCTCAGGCTCAGTGAAAGACACGAAGCTACAGAGTTTGATCCACTCACTGACCTCGGGCTCAGAAGTATCAGAGGCCAGGGTTATTTTCACTTGATGAGATCTGCTCCTGGCCACTGAGGATGATCTCTCTTTATGCACTTTCTAGCCCGAGTTGGTCTTCTGCTTCCTGCATGGGCCCTAGGGCTTGTCAACATCCAACCCTCGTGCTTTCCACACTCCTGGCTGGGCATCCCCTCACCCAGAGGTTGTGGCAGGCCAAATAGAAGCTTCCTAACCTATAGGGTCCTGAGCCTAGGACCTCAGGAAGTTCAATTTTTAAATATTTTTTAAAACTTTATGTGTATGAGTGTATTGCCTGCATGTATGTGAGTGCACCCGTGTCGTGCAATGCCACGGAGGTCAGAAGAGAGCTTCGGATTCCCCTGGAACTAGAGTTAAGGACGGTTTGTAGCCGCCAGTGGGAGCTGGGAATCGAACCTGGGTCCTCTGCAAAAGCAGTCAGTGCCCTTAGGTGCTGAGCCATCTCTCCAGCCCCAGGAAGTTCAATTTTTAACAACAGATTCTTTGACAAGATGGTGCCATTCCTACCCCTCACTGCTGTCTGGATCACCAGTGTGAGAAATGGGATTCTCTTCACTGATGACCTGTCTGCCATGAGAATCACTGTCTCACCCAAACCTACAACTGGATTTGAGCCTTGTTATACCTGTGGGATTGTTATAGGGTAGGACTGCCCAACTTTCATCTGGTTTACCGTCCCCTCTCTTCCCCTGGATATAGGACTCCATCCCATTCTAAAGCACTCTGCTCTTCTCAGCTATGTTTTCACTCTCTGCATTTTCAAAGCTTCCCCTCTGTTTCTCACTTTAAAATAGTATTTTTTCTTATTCTGACTCTATCCTCCATCAGCTCACACCAAGGCAGCCTCTTATACTATCTTGCTCAGAAGGCACATCTCATATTTCACACAAAACTCTTCTCTTAGAGACAACAGGAGTGATTGTTACAGCTCATATCCCAGTGTCTGGAGTATGCACAGCCCCAAACTCCCTGCTTCCCCATATCTTCTACTCCTTATAGATTCACCTGCTAAAAAGTATGCTCAACATTTATTTGAGCAAAGGCAAAATAAAGACTACAAAGGAAAAATATGGGGATGTAGCCAGTGCTCTCTCTTCTGTTGGCCCACGATCTTGAAACTTGCTCGTCTCACGGGGCAAACAAGCTCTTCAGTGAACGGAACTGTGTCTTCTGACCACAAGTTAGCAATCTTCCCACTTAATACACAGTTTGCAATGTATTTATCAGTCTTCCTCTCTCCTGACTTCCCCAGCATCTGCCGAACAGACCCTGTCACAGAACAGATGATGAACTGTTACTTAGCAGTTTCTTCCAAATTGAAACATTTCATCCCAGAAGGAAGCTAATTAAGAGTCAGGAAGTTCTGCCGAATGCCTTTAATCCAAACACTGAGGGGAGAGATGCAGGCAGATCTCTGAGAGTCTGAGATCAGCCTGGTCTACCTAGAGACTTCCAGGCCAGCGAGGGCTACATGGAGAGATATCATTTCAAAGACTCAGGAAATTCTAAAGATGGGGGTAAGACACACAAAGTAAATGATTCACAAGTCTCAGGTTGCCCCTGAAATTGACCAGATGCACAAAGGCCATCCTGCCTCAAGGTTATATAAGCAGTAAGGTCTGCTAAGGAGAAGAGATGCTGCATTCTCTCTAGCTGCCTACAAGTTGTGTAGACAACTCCAGGGCTCCAGCTTTTGTGAGTCATCACCCATGCTGAAGTGGGCTTTGAGTGATAGACTCCATATTCCTGTAAGCAGCCCCTCACTCACACTCCTGGAAGTAAACCCCAGTAAACTCATTGGCTCCAAAGCTGGGCTTTGGTGGTATCCTTTGTTCTGTTGTTGCTTCTCTATTAGGGTGGACAGATGTTTGTTCATATCTTCCCAGGAACAATTCTACATAACATTTTGCTGGGTGCCCACAGGAGATGTGATGAGTTGGACCTGGCAAAACATTGAACAAGAAGTTGAGAAGGGGACCAGCATTCGTGTCTCTCTGTAAGGTCACTACAAAATGCAGTTTGACCAGCTGCCTTGTCTACCCAGTGTCATGCTTTCCCTGTCATGATGAGCTCTTTCCCTTAAATTGTGAGCCTAAGTAAACCCATCCTTTTTTCCTTTCAAAATAAAAACGAGAGGAGGGTAGGCTGAGTCAGGGTTTATATTCAGGCTATAACTGTATAATACAAGGTTTGGGCTCACACCTTTTTGCTTTTCCCAACTGGCCTCTGAATACCTGCCTTGATAATTCTCAAAGTTTCAAAAGTTTTTTCTTACTGGATCCCTCATTTAGGAATAAATGCTTTGTGTTTTAATGAAAATATGGTCTATACAACTAAAACAAAAGACTGTGCAACAAAAATCCATTCTCACTTTTTGACTGATTTTTTTTATGTATATGAGTGTTTTGTCTGCATGTAGATAAGTGCATGCAATGCCTATGGAGGCCAGAAAAAGATGTTAGTTGCCATGTGAGTGCTAGGAACTGAACCCAGGTCCTCTGCAAGAATAGCCTGTCAGTGCTATGTTTTTAATTTTTAGTTTAGTTCAGTTTTTTAAAAAAATAAATGGGTGCTGGGAAAATGGCTCAGTGGTTAAGGCATTAACTGTTCTTATAGAGGATCTGGGTTCAGTTCCTAGCACCCACACGGCAGATAACAACCACCTGTAACTCCAATTCCAGGAGATCTTATGGCCTTGGCTGGCCTCTGTGGGCACTGCACACATGTGGTGCATTTACATACAAGCAGGCAAAATACTCATGCACATAAAAAAATGGGTATGATCAATTAAGTGTATTTTATGACTCTTTCATGGGTTTTATCCACAAGTTTAAAATATTATCTTGAATGCCGAATGTGGTGGTACACGCATTTAATCCCAGCACTTGAGAGACAGAGGCTGGCAGATCTCTGTAAGTTTGAGGCCTTCCAGGCTACATACCGTGAGACCCTGTCTCAAAAACATATATCTTGTAGCTGGACATTGTGGCCCACAGCTGCAATCTCAGCACTTGGGAGGTGGAAGCAGGAGAGTTACAAGTATGAGGCCCGCTTAATTTACAGACCGAAACCCATCTCAAAAACAAACAAATCACTAAGTTTAAATGAGATAAGGCATGCAAATTGTTTGGTCCTGAAAGGGCTCTCTAAATGGGAAACTCCGAAAAGTGCTATTCTAAGCAAAGCAATAGGAAGCTTGCCAATTTGCTGGGCGAAAGGCCAAAGATGAGCAAACACATACACCAACAGTGGAAACAGGGCAGTACTGCCCAGAACTGTCTCAGATCTCTCTGCCTGCCTGGATTCTTCTCTGCCATCTTGGCCTTTTGGTGCATATGCCAAAAGCTCTGCTAACCTTTCTTCCTTTCAATATATCTTATTATTAGTTGCTTCCTTTATAGAACTACCTTTATCTGAAATAAAGTATCTGCATGGTTATTGCTCCTTGGAACCTTCCACTGTGAGGACAGTAATCCTCTCTACCTTGCTCACAATTGCATCTGTGCTACATACAATGCTTATTCACAATACATATTGAGTATGAATGAATGACCACCAGGTGGAAATAAGCAGGTCATTATAAACAAATATCAATGTTGCTAATCCTGTACATATTTTGTTTTAGTTATCGTGGATTATACTTTGCATTCTTTATTACTTGTCAATATTGAACGGCACGAGAAGAAAATAACCAGGATAGAAATTCTGAAAGGATTTGGTATCTTCTTAAGGATTGGGTACCGAAATCAGAAATTTCTAGCAAGTCCTGAACAAATTTTATTTTCCTTTGAATTTCTCCAGGGCAAGGTCAACTTGATTTCAATATCCTTCATTAGAAATCAGAGTACTGCCAGGTAGTGGGCGCTCCATCACTATTTGAAGAATAAAAGTAGGGAGTTAGGCCTATGTATATAATGAAGGATGCTCGGCAGACTGCAGTTCCTCGCCGACACAGGAGGCAGCGCCATGGCTTTAGCAGCCTGACTGTCCGCTATTCTTGGCCCTTCCGGCTGACCGTCCAACATTAGGCCCTCCCGAAGCGTGTGCGGAAGTTAGCCAATAGAAAGATGGCTCAGTGGAGGGGTCTGGCAGAGCTACCCAATGAGCGCAGCGGTTCTAGAAAAGGGGCGGTACGAAGGGGAGTTGCCGAGGAGAGCGGTTAGAGGTGGGAGTTGGCGCTGAGGGTCGGGCGGGGACAGCGGGCTGCGATGCGGACCGGGCCGCGGCGGTGACCGGAGTTGCCGCCCGACATGAACTCGCTGGAACAGGCGGAAGGTAGGGCGGGTCGCCCGTCCCGTCGCGGAGCCCCGACCTCGCCCCGAGCAGGGGAGGCCGCGAGGCGGGGGGACAGGGCGGAGGCGGGCGCGCGGGGCTTCGGGCGTCCAGCGGGGTGACGGGGCGGAGGCGGGGCGCGCGGGGCTTCGGGGCGTCCTGCGACGGCCAGCGCTGTCTGCATCTCCGCGGCCCGGGCCGTAGAGCCCCCGCCGGGCTGGGCGCTCCTCGTTCAGTGACCAGCGTTGAGACCGAAGTGTTGTACAGTGCGAATTCCTTTTCCTCTTGTCTGGTAACCCCACGAGCTGCAACCCTCATTTCTTCTTGGCTTCCGGTCATCGCCGGGTTGGGAAGTGCTCTGGGTCTCCCAAAGTTTTAAAAACCACCGGGTGGGAAGACTACCCACTTGTTTTAGAGACACACCTGGGACGCCTGTCACCGCACAGGGCGTCTGTGCTCTGTAGCTACCCAGGCGCTCACCTGGAACTCTGTCAGAGGAGGCGAGGGAGTGTCTGCGCAGCCCGTTATCTGTCTCCGGAAGTCTAGTAAGACCATACTACGAAGTCCTTAATTAATGATGGCGCTGGAGCCCGACTCGCATAATTGCAGTCAAATACACCTCTGGGACTTTGATGTTCTAACAGATTGTTCTTGGTTCCACAGAATTGAGCTCGACTGGATTTTTATCCTTTTGCCACTTCTCAAATTCCAGCATTTGGCTTTGGCTGAGGTTGCTGCTTGATTTTCCACACACTGCGTTTTCAAGCTTCTAAAAGTAGACGTCTGGATTCCAGACAATGTTTCTGTCGTGTTCTTAAAGCTGTCATAGTATGCAGATAGTGCAGTGACACATGTAATTTGGTGTGTAAGACCTGTAAGCAGTTACCTGTCTAAAAATTCCTCTTAGATTAGTAAGAGTGGCTAATTAGAAAACTGAAATCTTTTTACCTAGATCTCAAGGCTTTTGAGAGAAGACTTACCGAATATATTCATTGCTTGCAACCTGCCACTGGGCGTTGGAGAAGTAAGTTCCTGAATGTTTTCTGAGAGAAAATGAAGTCCACTTGGTAATGTTATACCTACAGAGGAATGATTTGTGGTCATTTGACAAATACTTGCTTTACTAAACTATACGGTTTCTCTGTGTTTAGACAATTTTTAAAAACTTTATTATTTTTATTTTTGTGTGCATGAGTGTATTGCCTGCATGTGTGTAAGTGCACCCATACCATTCAGTGCCTTTGAAGGTCAGAAGAGGGCGTCAGATCCCCCAGAACTGGAGTTATGGACAGTTGTTAGCTGCCATGTGCGTGCTGGGAATCGAACCCAGGTCCTCTGCAAGAGCAGCCAGTGCTCTAACCCTCGGAGCCATCGCTCCAACCCCACATTTAGACAGTTTTTAAATGTATTTAATACTGTATGCAATATATTACAAAGAGTGCTTAAGAAAATTAGGGGATGGAGAGATGGCTCAGTGGATAAAGGCTTATGATATAAGTCTGGAAACCTGAGTTCATCTCCAGAAACCATTTAGAGGTAGAAAACACAAACTCCACAAAGTTATCCTCTGACCTCCACATTTGTGTGGCATGAGTGTGCGCGTGTGCACACACATACACACACACACTAAATAAAAATTTGAAAAAAGATGAAATCAAAACTGGCTATCCTAAAAGGACTATCTACTTTGGTTGAATATTTGTTTTTCCATGAAAGTACATACACCTTTTTTTTTGTTTGTTTGTTTTTAGGGGGGCGTCCTTTTGAGACAGACAGGGTCTCCCTGTAGCCACAACTGGCCTGGAACTCAATATGACGACTAGGCTGACCTCAATCTTACAGTGATCTGCCTACTTCTGCCTCCCAACTGCTGGGATTAAAGGTGTTTCCCACCATACCCAGTGAAAATACATACACTTTTATTAAATATTGTCATTGATAAAAACACAATAAAAATTTCACTATCCTGTTTAGTAGTTATAAAAATTTTCCTACAGGGAGCCTTAGAGATGGCTCAGTGGTTAAGAGTACTGATTGCTCTTGCAGAGAACCCAGGTTCGATTCCCAGCACCCACATGGCGGCTACAAACCATCCTTAACTCCAGTTCCAGGGGAATCTGAAGCCCTCTTCTGACCTCTGCGGCATTGTACGACACAGGTGCACTAACTTACATGCAGGCAATACCATACACATAAAATTAATAAATGAAATATTTTTTAAAAAAAGAAAAATTTTCCTACAAACTAGCTGGACTTTGTGCAGACATATACTCTCAGCACTGTGTACCCTGACCTAAAGCATGATTTTGTCTCTAAAAAACTTGAAAAATGGGCTTAGTCAGTGTTTGGCCATGTAAGCATGAGGACCTGAATTTGGATCTCCAGGGTCCACATAAAAAGCTGGGTATGCTGGGCATGGTGGCTCACTCCTTTAATGCCAGCACTCGGGAGGCAGAGGCAGGCGGATCTCTGCGAGTTCAAGGCGAGCCTGGTCTACATAGTGAGTTCCAGAACAGCTGGGGCTACAGGGAGACCCTGTCTCAAAAAGACCGAAAAAAAAAAAAAAAGCTGGGTATGCACATGCCTATAATCAATCCTTGAGGGTTAGCAGAAGACAGAATCCTTGGGGCTTGCCAGCTAGGCAATCTAGCTGAACCCATTAGTTCCAGGTTCAATGAAAGACTATCTCACAAAATAAAGTGGACATTGATCTTTGGCTTCCACATGCACATGGAAAGATAAACACATGTGCACACAAAAATATCCCCAAATAAAACATAATTTTCCTACAAACAGTTGAAAAAAATTATAAGAAAAATCATATTTTGGGGCTAGAAAGATGGCTTAGTGATTCAGTGTACTTAACTGCTCTTGCAGAGGACCTGGGTTTGGTTCCCAGCACTCACAGCAAGTGACTCACTTGCATGTAACTCCAGCTCCAGGAAATCTGACACCTTCTTAGGGACTCTTCAGGAACCTGCACTCACACTTACAAAAACACATGTATACAAATAATATAAAATAAAATAGATCTTTTTCAAAATTTTATTTATTTATGTGTATGACTGTTTTGTACATGTCTGTAAGTACATCAAGTGAGTGGCTGGTGCCCTCAGAGGCCAGAAGAATGCATGGGAACTGGAGTTATGGAAGGGTATGAGCCATCATGTGACTGCTGGAAACTGACCTGGTCCTCTGGAAAAGCAGTAAGTGCTCTTAACACTGAGCCATCTCTGCAGCCTGTAAATATTTTTTGTTTTTTTGAGACAAGGTACTCAGTATGTAGGCTGGCCTCTATTTCACAGAGATCCACCAGCCTCTGCCTCTGAGTGCTGGGATTAAAGGCTTTTGTCACTATGCCCAGCATAAATCATTTTTTAAAAATTAGAAACTGCCGGGCGTGGTGGTACATATTTCCACTGAGGGGATAATTTAGTGATAGAGTATATACTTGCATGCATGAGGCTGTTAGTTTAAAAAATTGTTTTTAATATATGCTTACAAACATTATATTTCCCTTAGTTGACTTTTTATAAGAGTTTTTTTGTTTTTTATTTGTTTTTGTCTTTTTGAGACAGGGTCTCCCTGTAGTCCCAGCTGACCTGAACTCACTATGTAGACTAGGCTGGCCTTGAACTCACAGAGATCCGCCTGTCTCTGCCTCCCGAGTGCTAGGACTAAAGGCATGCGCCACCACGCCCGGCTTATAAGGGCTTTTTAAAAATGTTTTTATCGATAATATTTTTATTTTATGTGAATGAGTGTTTCGCCTGCATGTATGTAAGTGCATGCCTGCAGAGGCCAGAAGAGGGTGTTAGATCTCCTGGAACTGGAGTTACAGATGGATGCTGGCCATCTTGTAGATGATGGGAACCAAATTGGAGTCTTCTACATGAGCAGCCAGTGATTTTTTTTTTTTTTTTCTGGTCTTTTTGAGACAGGGTCTCCCTGTAGCTCCAGCTGCCTGGAACTCGCTCTGTAGACCAGGCTGGCCTCGAACTCAGAGATCTGCCTACTTCTGCCTTTTATTGTTTTATGTGTATGAGTATTTCACCTGCATGTATGTAAGTGCACCTGTGTCATGCAATGCCCTCGGAGGTTAGAAGAGGGCATTGAATTCCCCTAGAACTGTAGTTAGTTACTGACAATATTTAGCTGTCATGTTGGTGCTAGGAATCAAATCCAAGTCCTCTGCAAGAGCAGCCATTTCTCTAGCCCCGCCCCCCAAGTTTAAAGATTTATTTTCATTTTATGTGTGTCTGTGAGTGACTGCATGTGTGTGTGTTTGCCATGTGCATGTAGGTGTCCTAGGAGTCCAGAAGAGGATGTAAGGTGCTCTGGACCTGGAGTTACAGGCATTTGTGAGCTGCCTAATGTGAATGCTCAGAACTGAGTCTGGATCCTCTGGAAAAGTAGCAAGTGCTTTTAACCACTGAGCCATCTCTCTCGTCTCCCCTTAGTCGATTTTGAATATAGCATAAAAGTGTGGTTTGAAGTCTGATCCAGAAAAGAATTTCACATTAGTACTGCCTATTCCTAAGTATTTTGAATGCTGCAAAATATGATTCAAATGAGTTCTAGTTACTGGCTCAAAGTAGGGGCAGAGTAGGGAGTGAGTAAATATAAAGAGATGAGATCGCCAACAGAGTGCTGTGCCAGTCTATACTGGAACCAAGTCATCTCCATGCCCCCTCCCCTTCTCTTTTTGGATATAAGATCTTGCTGTGTTCCTCAGGCCAGCTTCTACCTCCTGGGCTCAAGTGATTCTCCTACTTCTATGTACCCCCTTCCCCAGGTGTTAGGACCAGAGATGTGTGGCACCACTCAGCTTTGGACTAGTCTTAGGAAGTTGGACTCTCTAGATTTAATTTCTGCCTGGAAGGAAGTACAACAATGGTACACAGACGGGATGTAACCTTGTTTTCAGTGCTGGGTATCAGATCCAGGGTCTTATATCTGCTAGGCATGCCCTCTACTTCCAAGCCACATTGACAGCACAATTCCAAGTGTAATTCTGTTTGCAGGACCAGAAGAGCACTACTAAGTTAGGGATCAAGATTTTGGTATAATTTTTATTAGATCTCTGAAGTTTTAATCATATATTGTGAGAATTTTTATTGGTCAGATTTCTTGTTCTTTACCTAGAAATTGCTCCCCAAACCATTGCCTCCCTTGGAAACTTTTTAAAATGTTTATACTGTTGCCCTGTCTTAACACCCATAAACACACACTAAACTTTCCCTTTGCCGCATACAAATGCCATCAGCTTGGTTAATGTACCAATCTAATCTACCTATCTATGGGTCCTTTCTAATATTTTCATTGTGGTTTTACTTCACTTTTTTTTTTTTTGGTCTTTTTGAGACAGAGTCTTCCTGTAGCTCCAGCTGCCTGGAACTCACTCCGTAGACCAGGCTGGCCTCAAACTAACAGAGGATCCGCCTGCCTCTGCCTCCCAAGTGCTGGGGTTAAAGGTGTGTACCACCACGCCCGGCTTTACTTCACTTTTTAAAAAATTACCTTTGTATTACTATATTTTTCTTTCTGGAATTACAGAATTAGAAGGAATTGTGTTTAATATGTTCTTATCTCAGAAAATAATTTTGATTCTGTTAGTAACTAAAATGAAGTTTTAAAAATTTACCTCTGTTACCTGGAATTCTAGATGATTAAGTTTTTACTATATTTGTTTCTCTTTGAAACTTGGTTTCCACATTTGAAAATATTCATCCTAACTGAAAGACAAAGAACTGCCTTCATCTCCAGAATATTAACTGAGTCATGATGTCCTTTCTTTTAGTTTCTCTTCGTCTCTTTTTTTACTAATACCATTTATTCTTCAATTTTATGATTTTAGATTTAAAAAAAAAAAAAAAAAAAGACCGGAAAGGGACACTAATAGAATTTAAAAATAGGAAACCAAAGAGAAAGGCCAGAGCCAAAGACCTGCAGGAGCCTACAGGTGCACACCTAACTCTTCCTATTAGCTGTATGCCCCAAATATAACAGATACATGGGCTGTCTGGCCCAGTGACACTAGCACCCTGAGATCAACACACTCACTCCTGACTCAATTAGCGGTTCATCAAACATGGAAACTGAATGTAAATAGACCTATGAAAAGAGAGTGGCTCTGGCACAGGGAACACAGGGGATTGCCTGAGCACACCCAGATCCTGCCTCCACATGGTGGCGAGCTTCCCCTAATTGCTCCATACCCATACCCCTACCTGGGATTTTGTGAGGCCCCTCCCAAGACCCCAGGGCAGACCTGGCTTTAGTAGGCTAAGGCTGATATCCGTAGCCCCAGCTGGCCTGGAACTCGATATGTAGACCAGGCTGGTCTTGAACTCACAGAGATCTGCCTGCCTCTGCCTCCCAAGTGCTGGGACTAAAGATGTGGGCCACCATGCCCAGCCTATGTAATTTCTTAAATGTTATAGTTTATGAGTTGCCATCAAAGGTTGCAGGCATTCCAATCTCAAAGGTATTAAAAGGTAAACAAATATGCCTCATAGTAGCATTAAGATACAGGTCAGTAAGGGCTAGAGAGATGACTCAGCAGTTAAGAGCACCTACTGCTCTTGCAGAGGACCCAGTACCCATGTCAGGAGGCTCACAATTGCCTATAACTCTAGTTCCAGGGGATCTGATACCCTCTGGCCTCCATGGGCTTCTGCACACACAAAAACTCACACAGCCTCATACGCATAAATAAAAATAAGAACTAAATCTTTTTAAAAAGAGACTGATACAGATTGTTCGCCATGGTGACCCCACAGTTACTAATACTGACCTTTGTTTAATTCTACAATAGTAGCCTGCATGGCAGAGTCCTTCAAGTTCGAACTCAAATGCTGCAGTATAGTTTAGAAAGAAGTCTTTGTTGTATGTTTGCATTAGGAAATGAAAGGTTTTTCTCCCCTAATTTGAGTTTACAGGACCTGCAAAACCAACTCAAAACAACAGTGAAAGTGATATAACATGGAATCTTATGTTGAAATTTTGTCATCTGATTTCTTGATTTTAATTTCATTAATCTTCATTCTCATAAATTCTAACCAAGTAACAAGGAAGTGGATATCATCTCAGTTACCAGGGTTTGGAATGCTGACGTGCGTTCCTCAAGATGTGGCAAAGTCTGATTCTTGTTAGAATCATTTTGTGTTTAATAAAGTGCCGTGTTCTTTGGCTGCTGCCTGTTAGGAACTGATGGAGTAGTAGCCACCGTGAAGGGTGTGTTTGCATACTAATTTTGTGTTTATCTTTCATCAGTGCTTCTTATAGTGGTGTCTGTCTGTACAGCTACTGGTGCCTGGAACTGGCTAATAGATCCTGAGACACAAAAGGTAGAAGTTTTGTTTTAAAATCTTCAGTAGATTAAGTGAGATACTGGATGTAGTGATGCTTAATATAAAGTATTCTGCAGCGCTCCTTGTGCCTGCTACTAATTATGTTAATCCCTACATTAACAACATGCTCTAATTTGCTTAAGGAAAGCCCCAGCTAGCTGGTTTAAGTATCTTAATAAGGTGAAAGACCTAAGAAATATTACTCCATTTATATTATTTCTTAATTCATTTTTGGATTTTCTTATTTTCACGTGAGCATTCTTTTCCTTCTATCTAGTGTCAGTGTCAGCTTTTAAAAATGGTAATTCAGTGAATTATCTGTTAATACCTTTACCCCATCTGTTAATACCTTTTACCCCATAAAGCATTTGTGATGACTATATAGAAAAAAATATGACAAAATATAACTTGTGATTTAAAAAAGCAGAGTAGAGCAGTGGTTAAAACCAGAAAGGAAACCAGGTCACTGATTTCTATGCCATGAGGCTCAGCAGAGTTGACAGGATTAAGTTATAAATTGATCTCTAAATTCCCTAATCAGTGGAGTCACAGTTAATTCTGTGTGTTGTCATTGTCACTGAGGCAAATGTGCTGGTTCCCTGAGTTAGCAAAGCTTTTCTTTCTCGGCATTTATCTTTCCACGTTTCTTGCCTGGAGTTTAATATAGGAAACACCAAGAGATCTCCCATTGGGCACTGTGCAGGAACATCCCTATATCAAGGCAATAACAGATTTCATAATGTTAGCTCTTGAAGCATTATTTGATGAAAACTGACAAAATGGTTCTCAGATTTCTCTTTTTCTACTAGTGCTTTAATTTCAAGCTCAGCCTTTTTTTTTTAATTAGAGAAACAGGGGGCTTCAGTTTTTTCAGTGAATACTCACCCCCCACTTCTGTTTAGTTCACTGTCATCAGTCTGTTCAGACAGTTAGGAGGGTATTTAGTATGGAGTCTCCCTGACTCTCCACTGAGAGAGAGATAGAAAAGGACAGGAAGCAGGGGAGCTTGGTGTTGGAGTTTTATGTTAATAGAGGGGTTTATGGCAGACCAGAAATGCTCCTGTGAGTTCATTTATAAAAGTCTGATCTAAGACTGTACTTGGTACATATTTAGGGGAAGAGTAGAAGGAGGCTGAGGCTGGCAAGAAGATTGAAAAAGGTCTACCTTGGGAATTGAGTCTAACTTCTAATTGAGAAAAATATAAGCTGATTTCAGCTCATTGAGATCTTAATAAAACACAGAATTAAATATAATTTGAAATATACCCAAAATATGTAGTTAATACAATTTTCTAAATTGGATGAGAGTATAGCTATTACCCTTAGGGTTGGCTCTTTTTACTTCAGTATTTAATAACCCCAAACCTGATGAGCGTTTTAGCCAGCAATAATTGTGTCTAAAGCAGGAGTTGCAAATATAAAAGCCAGGGAGAAAAGGAATATGACAGACACTTTAAAATAAAGAGGGAGGGGCTGGAGAGATGGCTCAGTGGTTAAGAACACTAGTGGTTCTTGCAGAAGACCCAGGTTCAAATCCCAGCACCCATATGGCAGCTAACAACTGTCCGTAACTCCAGTTCTAGGGGATCCGATAGCCTCCTCTGTTTTCCACAGGCATTGTGTGATGTGGGTGCCCTTACCTACATGCAGGCAATACACGCATACACTTAAAATAAAGAAGGAAACTGATGTTAAGATGCCATTGATTGTTGCCGTGGATGGAAGGAGACTAATACCAACTGACCAGATTAAAATAAAAACATAAAGGTGGGCATGGTCATGAGAGACTGAAGCAGGAGGATTGAGAGTTGGAGGCTAGCCTTGGCTGTGTGGTAAAACCTTGTTAAACAATAATAGCAACAATACATTTAAATTTTTTTAAAAATATTGGGGCTGGAAAGATGGTTCAATGGGCAAAGTGTAAGTGGTGTTGTAAATATTGAGGACCTGATTTCATATCTCCAGCACTCAAGTAAAAGCCAGGTGTGGCAGTGTACATTTGTAACCCCAGTGCTGGGGGAAGGAAGGATTGGCAGAGACAGAAGGATCCAGGAGGCGTGCTGATAGCCAGTCTAGCTAAATCAGTGAGCTCCCAAGTTCAGTGAGAACCTCAGTTAAGAAGCAGGGTGGAAAGCCAGGCCTGATGGCGCACACCTTTAATCTCAGCACTCGGGAGGCAGAGGCAGGCAGATCTCTCTGAGTTTGTGGCCAGCCTGGTCTACATAGTGAGTCCCAAGACATCTGGAGCTACAGAGAGACCCTGTCTCAAAAAGACCAAGAGAAAAAAAAAAAAAGAAGAAAAAAGGTGGAGCTGGGTGTGGTGGTGCACCCTTTAGTCCCAGCCCTGGAGTGGCAGAGGCGGGTGAATCTTTGTGCTTTGCAGGCCAAACAGGGCTACATAGAACCTAACTCAAAAAACAAAAACAAAAAAACCAAGGTGGAGGGTGATAGAAGAAGATACTGTGTTAACCTGTGGCCTCCACACATGTGTACACAAGTGAGAGTGCATACATAAGCTATGCACATACACAAAAAAAAATTGCAAAGTGCTGTATGGGCTACCATTGTGTAGACCACACAGCTGGCTTATAAAAATCAAACCTCAGAGGGTTAAAAAAATTTTAATTACATTTATTCAGTGTGTTGTCAGGTGGCACATGTGAGAGAGGATAGCTTAAGGGTGTTGGCGCTCTCCTTCACCATGTGGGTCCCAGAGGTGGAACTCGGGTCATCAATCTTTGTAGCAAGTGCCTGTATCCATTGAGCCATTTTACCTGCTGTAAGCCTCAGAGATTTTAAGAAAATAGTCTTTTAAAGCCAAGTGGTGGCTCATACCTGTAGTCCCAGTACTTAGGAGGCTGAGGCAGAAGGATTGCTTTGGGTTTAAGGCTTTCATGGGCAGCATAGCAAGTACCAGGCCAGCCAGGGCTCCATAGCAAGACTGTGCCTCAACAAAACAGAAAAAGGTTCTCTGAAACATTAGTCTGTCTTCAGGATCTAATCTCGCGGGTGTTTCCCTCCTAATGTTTTCAGTCTCTCAGATTTTCACTTGCTCTTGCTAAACCAGTACTTAGGGCTTTGCCTAGGGCTTTTCTCTGTCTTGAAATGCATGTGTTTAGCTTTCAGTCTTCAACCATGAGACATGTCTTGCTGTGAGGGCTCTCTGGGGATGTGCTTAGCTTAAGTGTTCTTCCTATGTAGTTACTACCCTATTTGCTCTCTTTTTCTAGAAGCTCTGCATGTGTGTCTTCTCGTTCTTCGGTCTGTTTCTGTTCCCCAGCCATCTGGCTTTGTTCCAAGCATGAATCTTGGACTCTTATTCCTCTGCCTATTTTTAGAATTGTGTGATGCCCATTTTTCTGTCATTTCATTATGCCCGACCTGACGGAAGCCCTTTTTTTTCTTGAATTCTATTTCTTTGTAGATAGCTACTAACCATTTATTCCCTGCTTCAATGGTCCCACGACTATCTAAATCTTAGTAGCTTCAAAACCAGCTTCCTTTTTTGTTTCAAGGGTAAAAGTGAATCTGTAAAAGTTAGGCAAACAGGGAAGGTAATGTATGTGTGGAGGCGGGGCAGGAGATGAAGATTAGTCTTGGACCAGGTTAGGAATGACAGAGCTTGCTCAACTCTGTAGGAAGCTTTTTGACAGGAAGGTAATAAATCTTGTGTTTTCATTGAGACTAAAGGCTCTTCGTTCATTAAACAGAGAGCTCAGTATTTGGGATAGAGTTGTTTTAATGATTCAAGTATTTGAAACCATCTATTGCTATCTTGTCTTGCTGTACAAAAAGATAAAAAACATGTTTTGTTTTGTTTTGTTTTTTTACAGCATAGTAATAAAGAGAACTAGGACTATTGGACATCTTCAAATTCTTGTAGTTTAGATGATAAAAATGTACATTTATACATAAGTAAGGAGGTAGGAAATCAGTATTCTCAGATTTTAACATTTTTGTATTTCACGTTTTTCTTTTTCAGGTGTCCTTCTTCACGTCATTATGGAATCATCCATTTTTCACAATTAGCTGTATTACTCTAATAGGCTTGTTCTTTGCGGGAATACACAAGAGAGTAGTTGCACCATCAATGTATCCTTTACCATGAATTGAAATTTTTAAAAAGATGATTATTATTTTATGTATATGAGTGTATTGTTGCATGTGTATATGTGCACCACATAAGTGCCTGGTGGTCACAGAGGCCAGAAAAGGGCATTGGATCCCCTGGAACTGGAGTTGGCAGACGGTTGTGGGCTGCTATGTGAGTGCTGGGAATCAAACTTGGATCCTCTGTGAGAGCAACAAATTGCTCCAGCCCTCCACTAATTGAATTGTATTCTCTGAACTAAGCTGAAGAACTCTATTATCTAAGTGGTTGTTAGAAGCTTTGTTAATCACTTTCTGTCCTATGACAAAGTACCTGAGAACAGATTTGTCTTAGCCAGGCGTGATGGCGCACGCCTTTTCCAGCACTCAGGAGGCAGAGGCAGGCCCATCTCTGTGAGTACAAGGCCAGCCTAGTCTACATAGTTCAGGTCAGCTGGGACTATAGGGAGACCCTGTCTCAAAAAGACCAAAAAAAAGATTTGTCTTGACTCAAAATTTTAAGAGGTTTCAGTCCATGATTGACTGGTTCCATTACGTTTTGACTGTGGTGAGGCAGAACATTATAGCAGGAAGTATGTGGTAAAACCAGGCTGTTTGCCTCATGGCAGCAGGAAGCAGAAAGCAAGAAAAAGGGTCCAGGGACAAGATGCAGCCTTCAGAGGCACACTCTGTGGGGACCTATGTCCTGTAACCGGTCCTACTCCATTTAGCTATGAATGTATCAGTGGATTAATTCATCGATGCAGTTAGTGCCTTATTCAGTCACCTCAGTGTGCTAACAGCTGGTGTCAAGGCTTTATCACATGAGCCTTTGGGGCAATATTTCATATTTAAACCACAACAGAAACTTATTCTGTATCGGGAGTTTTCCTTTGACCACATTGATTCAGTATAGCTGCTCGATGTCGAACAATATTAGCAGAATACAATATGTCTTGCGATGATGTAAGTACTCTTTTCATTAGAGCATACCTATAGTCAGGTGTGATAGATTATGCCTATAATTCTAGCACTTGAGAGATAAAGGCAAGAGGATTACTGTAAGTTTAAGGCCAGCCTACAGAGTGAGACCCTGTTTCAAAATAACACCGAAAAGGAGGCAGGGGGCCTAGAAATGCAGACATACATAAAAGTACTAACATGTTTAATTTTAAGAAAACAGACACCTGGGCCAGGCATGGTGGCACTGTAATCCCAGTACTTGAGATCCTTGGGCAAGAGGATCAAAGAGTGTAAGGCCAAGAGGCTGGAGATGTAGCTCAGTTGATAGAGTGCTTGTATGATGTGCAAAGCAAACATGCTCAATTTGACACCATCCTATGTTTTAATCATTCTGGGCAAGGTAGTGCACACTTAACATTCCTGCAGTTGGGAAGCTGAGGCAGGAGGATTATGAATTTAAGGACATTCTAGACAGAATAGTGAACCTTTAAAAAAAGTTATAATTCAAAAAAAAGTTAATACCTAATAAAGAGTATAGTGGCTCTCCATGTGCCCAGTCTATCAACTCATGGCCAGTCACATTTAATCTAGTCCCCTGCCACAGTCCTTTGCTCTTGGATTATTTTGGTGTTTTGTTTTGGGTTTTGCTTTGTTTTGTTGTTGTTTGTTTGTTTATTTATTTATTTATTTATTTATTTATTTATTTATTTTTGAGAGGCCTCGCCATGTAGCCCTGGCTTATGGTACTTGTTGTGTAGTCCAGACTGATCTTAAATTCAAGGCTATCCTGCCCCAGCCTTACAACACCTATTGGGCTATTTTGAACAAGTCCCAAGCAATATATTTCACCTACAAATATTTCAGCACATTAGAAACCACTTTTAAATTATTTTGTAAATCAATTATTTTATGTGTATGAGTGTTAATGCCTGCATGTATGTAAGTGCATCTGTGTTGTACAGTGCCCACAGAGAACAGAGGGGGTGTCTGATCCCCTGGAACTGGAGTTAAGGATATTTTTAGCTGCCATGTGGGTGCTGGGATTTGAACCCAGGTCTTCTGCAGGAGCAGTCAGTACTCTTAACTGCTGAGCCATCTCTCTAACTCTTTTTTTTTTTTTTTTCTGGTCTTTTTGAGACAGGGTCTCCCTGTAGCCCCAGCTGTCCTGGAACTCACTATGTAGACTGTGCTGGCCTTGAACTCACAGAGATCCATCTGCCTCTGCCTCCAGAGTGCTGGGACTTGGGACTTGCACCACCATGCCCAGTTTAAACAGCGTTTTTGATTATTGTTATTGGTGTTAATGTATGTGTTTGATTTGTTGGTTAGTTGATTTTATTTTTTGGTCTTTTTGAGACAGGGTCTCCCTGTAGCCCCAGCTGTCCTGGAACTCACTATGTAGACTGGGCTGGCCTTGAACTCACAGAGATCCATCTGCCTCTGCCTCCAGAGTGCTGGGACTACAGGCATGCGCCACCACGCCTGTCTTAATTATTTTTTATACAGGGTCTCCTGTAGCCCTAGCTGAGCTGGAACTCACTACATAGACCAGGCTGGCCTCAGTCTCAACAGAGATCAGCCTGCCTCTGACTCCTGAGTGCTGGGATTAAAGATGTGCACCACAATCCTCAGCTTGGGTTTTTTTGTTGTTTTTATTGTTTTTAATTGTTGCTGCTGTTAAGACAGGATCTCATTGTGTGACCCAGGCTCATTATGTAACCTAGTCTGGCTTTGAACTCGCGGTCCTCCTGCCTAAGTCTCTCAAGGGCTGGGATGATAAGCATGCACAACCACATTCAACTAGCCATTAATTTTTTATAATATATGCACATACAGATCACACTTGCTAGACAAGTGTTCTATCACTGAGCTACACCCTCAGCCCAAGCATCTCAGTAAAATAGAGGAAATAGTAGTGTGAAAGACGTGCTAAACTACAGAATAGCTAAAATGGGACATCCACCATGGAGACATGTATGTACTAGTCCATATTCTCCCTGCAGGTTTAACTGTAGCAGAGAGGAAAGGCAGAAACACTTTACCTCAACCCAGGTCTCTCAAGGGCCAACAGAAGTCCCGTGCCATCCTTGTGGGAACAGGCACTGCAGGTTCTGCTGCCCTGGGCACCACAGCCCTAGCCATAGGCAATAAAAAGTTTAGGCTTCTAAGTTCTCAGATAGACAGAGACCTCAGACGTCTACAGGACTCCTTGGGCAGGTAGAGAGACAGGTTAGCTCCCTAGCTGAAATGGTGCTACAGAACAGAAGGGGGCTGGACCTACCGTTCCTAGAGGAAGATGGCTCATACATGGCCTTAGGTAAGGCTTGCTGCTTTTACGCCAATAATTCAGGTATAATTGAGTTTTACTGAGCCTCTGGTAATACTCCTCCTAACCTTTCCGGTAAGCCCATGCCTCCTAAAATTTCTAACTGGATAGATCAAGAGGTGTCCAAACGCCATCAAAATTATGGTTCTAAGGACCCAATATGAGCCTCAAAATCAAAACAAGTCGAAGATTTGACTTAAATCCCAGAGCCAGTGGGGAATGTCATACCCCGAGTGCCTCTATTTTTATGTAAGTTTAACTGGTCAATCATCTGGTCATAGGACCACCCCTAGGAAGGTGGGTCATTTTAAATAGATGGGCAGAGTACCTAATGCATTAATGAAACAGTGAGTCCAACGTACTAGCGCAGAACTCCAGAGGAGCCACAATCATGTCGGTCTCTCTAAGTCTGTCCACCTTTCTGAAAGGTGTAATTTCCCTTTTTTTCTTCATGCCTTTCTCACTAAACACGCTTTCTTTGAGGCTTTGGGCTGCCCCTAGCATCTTATATTTCTTTACTCTCTCTAAATCTTCCTTCTCCCAACCACATGTGGCTGCCAGCCAGCTGCATATCTGCTCCCCATGCCTTATCCCCTCCGTTCTCCTCAAGGCAACTGCCACGCTTACTAGCTCGCCTGCTCTGAGGATTTTTCTTTAAAATTGTAAAAGCCTGGAAAAAAAAAAAAAAAAAGCCGGGCATAGCCACAATTGTGCCAATAATCCCAGAACTATGGGGTAGAGACAGGAGAATTGCTGGGGCTTGCTGGCTACCAGCCTAGATCCAGGTTGAAAGAGAGACCATGTCTCAAGAGAATGAGGTAGGGAATGATAGAGCACAATAATCAATGTAGCTGAGTATTCTCATTGACTGTTAGTAAAGGGAAATGTTCCCGGTTTTTCAAACTTTGTTATTTGGCCCAACATTGGAACTTAAAGAACTACCGTTAGTAACCATTAACCATGTGCAAAGTCCTGGGCTTATTTCTATTTTTTATTTCTTTTTGAAAATATTTTATTTGGAGCCAGGCGTGGTGGCGCACGCCTTTAATCCCAGCACTTGGGAGGCAGAGGTAGGTGGATCTCTGTGAGTTCAAGGCCAACCTGGTCTACATAGTGAGTTCCAGGACAGCTGGGGCTACAGGGCTGGAAAGATGGCTCAGCCGTTAAGCACACTGACTGCTCTTGCAGAGGATCCAGGTTCAATTCCCAGCATCCACATGGCAGCTACGCACTGTCCTTAACTCCAGTTCCAGGGGAATCCGAAGCCTTCTAACTTGAGGCATTGCATGACACGGGTGCACTCACATGCAAGCAATACACTTGTACACATAAAACAAAAATAAAATATTTAAAGAAATATTTATCAGTTTTTTTCCTTATGTATGTGAGTGTATTGCCTACATGTATATGAATGCACCCGTGTTGTGCAATGCCTGCAAGGTCAGAAGAAGGCATCAGATCCCCTGGAACTGGAGTTACAGTTTTTAGTCACCATGTGGGTGTTGGGAATTGAACCCAGGTCCTCTGCAAGAGCAGCCGGTACTCTTAACCACTGAGCCATCTCTCCAGCCTCTAGGCTTATTTCTTCACCTGTATTATCTTAGTTGAGCTCTTCTGTTATGTTTAATTGCTTATTGGTCCCATTATTTGGGTGCATTGTAATTCAACCCCCTACTGAACATACCGTTGTTTCCCCCTCTTTTATACTGGGTGTGGTCTGTTTTTCTCTGGAACTTAATGCACTGGGTAGAAGGGATTTTATGTGGTCTCTTACTAGATCCCTATACTTCACATGGTGTCTGGCACATGGTAGATAACCAAGCAGTGCTGAACAAACGTGTTAGTGACATCTTTGTGTGAATTCTTCCACCTGAACCTAGTTTCCTTCAGGTAAACGTCTAGGAGTAAAAGTTTACTTTTATGGTATGTACTTTATTATTGTTGTTATATATATGTATGTATGTATAAACAGCTTAGTTTTACAAAAGCATTTCCTAGAATATACTGATCACCAACAGTATATGGGTCTTCATTGCCCTTAAAACTTGTATGTTGGAAAGAAGCACCTTGCCCAAACAGTTTTATCTGTTACAAACTCAGTTTAATAAGCAGCAAAAATCTATAAAAATTGGGAATTCTGTCCAATGTATTTTTTTTGAAACCCCTCCTCCCCCCCTTGGTATTGTCTTCAAAATTTGCTGTTTTGTAGTACATCTCAATTTGAACTAGTCCCATTTCATGTTCTCAACTACACAGGGCTAGTGGCTACCTAATGTAACCATGAAGCATTAGTTATAACAAAACATCAAGATGAAAGGGGGGAGTTGTTTTGTATTCCTCATTACTTTTCTTTGTTTCCTTTATTTTTTTTGTGAGACAGGGTCTCCCTGTAGCCCCAGCTGACCTGGAACTCGATATGTAGACCAGGCTGGTCTTGAGCTCACAGAGATCTGCCTGCCTCTGCCTCCGGAGTGCTGGAGTTAAAGGCGTGCATGACCACACCTGGCTCCTCATTATTTTCCTAATAACATACTGGGGCTCAAGGAACCTAAAGTATATTTTTTCAGTTTTTTCAAACTTTCATGTAGCTCAGGAACGGCCTTGAACCTCCCAAGAGCTGAGATTACAAATTGACCCCCTGCCCAGCTATATTTGCTGTATTTATTGGCTGATTTCTAGGTAGCAAGTGGGGAAGGAATTCAAGTAAAGGTGTAAGAGTACATGTGTTTTTGTTTTTGTGCTAGGCATTGAACCCAGAACCTTGTTCATGCTAAGCAGCGTGCTCTGCCACCGAGCTACACTCTCAGCTGTGTGTGTTAACGTAATAAAAATGCAGTCCACACAAAGGAAATCTTGAAAATGTAACTATGATTTTGTTTAACCTTGACTAAAATAATAGGTGATTCCACTCAAATACCCTTTTTTGTTTGTTTGTTTGTTTGTTTGTTTTGTTTTGTTTGTTTAGACAGGTTCTCACTGTGTAGTCCCAGCTGGCCTGGAACTCACTATGCAGACCATCCCAGGCTGGCTTCAATCTCAAAGAGGTCCGCCTGCCTCTGCTTCCAGAGTGCTGGGATTAAAGGCATGCCCCCCACATGTGCAGCTCGAATGCCCTGTTGTTTTATTTATTTACTTATTTACTTACTTATTTATTTATAGTTGTTTTTTTGGTCTTTTTTTTTTTTTTTTTTTTTTTTTTTTTTTTTTTTTTATTTTTTTTTTTTACCCCCCCCGGGCCCGAAACACCCCCTTTAAAC